TCTAAAAGCCCTTTCCTTACGATAACCCTAACTGGGCCAGTCGTGGCCACACCTGTAATCCTAGCACTCTGGAGGCTGAGGCGGTGGATCACTCAAGGTCAGGAGTTTGAAACCAGCCTGAGCAAGAGTGAGACCCCTGTCTCTACTAAAAATAGAAACAAATTAATTGGCCAACTAAAAAAATATAGAAAAATTTAGCCGAGCATGGTGGCGCATGCCTGTAGTCCCAGCTACTCGGGAGGCTGAGGCAGGAGGATCGCTTGAGCCCAGGAGTTGGAGGTTGCTGTGAGCTAGGCTGATGCCACGGCACTCACTCCAGCCTGGGCAACAGAGTGAGACTCTGTCTCAAAAAAAAAAAGGTAACCCTAACTGGTGTTGGAAAGAATGCATTTAGCTATCTTGCACTTTTAAGTTAATTTTTCTATTTTAGAAATGAAATCTTTATGAGGCTAATAAAAAAAGTGGTCTATTGAGGAACTAATAGGACCTTCAACAATAGATAGAAAAATTTGTAAGTTAAAAAAATTTGAATTTCAAGCGGCTTGACTTGAACATGTTTTTTTAGATTCTTAGGTATTTATACTTTTTTTTTCTACTTTTAAGCAGTAGTTTACTTTGTTGGGCTATTTAAAAAAATTTTAGTCTCATAGAAAGATGATATATTTACTCTGGATGCAAGTATGTATTACTCAGGGTTCTTTTCAAAAAACCTCTTTCAGAGCCCATTATTTTCTCTGAAGTAAAATACTTGTTGTAGAAAGCTTTTATGTTGCTGTCAAGACTGCCAGGGGACACAGAGAATTACTGACACTTGCAATAGATGAACTGGCCTTTAAGCTCTCAAAGAATGCCCATAGGCAGTTTAGGGTTTACTTTGATCTGGGTCATAAAATTGTTATTGCAGGAGTTGGGGAGACAGAGAGGTGTTATTTCACAAGAAAATTTATGCAGAAAAGAAAAACACATGTGTTTTATAGTTAATATTATTTTGTAGCATTAATAGATATTAAGAAATCAATGAGTTCTATTATCTACATTAGTGATTCTCAAATCTTTTTGGTTTCATAACTGCTAACTCACAAAAGTTTCATAACTCACAAAAATTATTGAGAACCACAATGTGCTTTTGTTTATGTAGATTATCAGTACTGATATTTACCATATTAACTGTTGAAACTGAGAATTAAATATTTACTTATTCATTTCAAATCACCACAGTAAACCCATGGCATGTTAGTATATTTGACTTATTTTATGAAAAATAAATATATTTACAAAATAAAAATATTCAGTGGGAACAATGATACTGTTTTACATGTTTGGAAATCTCTTTAATGTCTTGCTGAATAGAAGACAACTGGATTTTAACCCGCATCTGCGTTCAGTCAACTTGCAGTATGCTGTTTTGGTCGAAACACATGAAGAAAATTTGACCTCACATAGCTATATAGTTGGAAAAGGAAGAATACTTTAATAGTCTTTTCAGATAATTGTGTGTATTCTTTGATATTACACTAGAACTTAACAAGTGGTATTTTTTTTAAAGTTAGTTGCAATGTGAATTCGGAAGCCATTTCGATCAACGTTTTAGCCTCTTACATTAAAATCCATTGGTCTGTCTTGTACATTGAATGGATCTTTTACCCATGTGTGATATTATAACATCATATGTTGTTATTTGAACATTTTTGGTTTCCTGAGAGTTACAGATCTTCTAAATGTTGAAAGATTTCATTCTATAGGATCACTTTCACCTTTGCTGCTATCACCACTGATATCATCTGCAAAATTTTTAAGTATTGGGAAGCTCTCAAGCTTATGGTAGTGGATACAAGTTTTCCTAAATCCTAATTTTTACTTGAAAGTTTGAATTTTATCCTGGGTCACAAATACTGTCAGTTGTTTTCCTTTAAGTGATAGGCTCACTTCATTCATTCTGGAGAAAATGTCTGCCAGGTGTCTAAGTCTGAGTAATCCTGGTTTGTCTTCAGTCCTTTTCTCACGAACATGGAGTTTCATGAGCGAGATGACAGATTAGCTCACAGCTCAGATAAGGGCCCGAGGCTTGTCCTTAAGACATCACCCGTCATGAATGGTGCCTTACGTGTATTCAGGGTTAGGATTTAATAAAATTAATAATTTTTACTGCTTTATGAAGGATGTTCTTAAGGATATACTGGCTAACGACTTCTAGCACCGTGTGGAGCTGCTGCCTCAATTCCCACTAGGACAGCAGGAACCCCCTTTGTGGCACAGTGCAGATGTTATTATTGGAGCTGTCGGCCGACCTTGAGATTTAGAACGTCATTCAGTACTTGGAATATTTCACCACCTCTTGTATTTTGTTGTCAAAAATTCATGTAAAATAAGATCTTTGATGATTTATTGTGCTAATAGCAGACAAAGACAAGCAAAATAGCAAGTCCATTAATATCAAGAAATTCACCCATCTTTAAAGAAAAGGTATGGTGTTTCAGATAAGATATCAACTCAGTCTTCATATTGCAGCTACATCTTTTAACTGGATGAGTTACTGGGCCGCTGCAGATGGTGCTGCGATTCCTTTGCTGGCTTTCCACCTGGTAGGCTCAGGCACAGGGCCTCTCGGCTTGTGTGTGACTTCTCCAACTAGCCCTGTCAGATGCTTCTGTGGCTTTTCGTTTTCTGGTTTAAAAAGATGTAATAAATAATATTTGGCTTTTAAAGAGCTTATCATGTCTAAGTTTAAATATTCAATTCCTTTTTATTTATACTGTGAATGATTGGTGTCAATGTGAATTTATTTTATACTTTGTACTGTGAATAATTGGTCTCACAACTTAAGTGGCACAATAAAAAAGTGTTCCATTGCATAAAACGCAATAAGGTAAATCATTAACATTTAGAAAGCTGATGGGAAAATGGCTTTCATCATAATTTCATTTCTTATTATAATTTCACCCAATTTCTTTTTTAAATTTTGGCATTTTTAACTGTTATGGGTACATAATAGTTGTATATCTTCACAGGGTACATGTGATGTGTTGATACAGGCACACAGTGTGAATTAATCAGATCAGGGTAATTGGGTCATCCATCACCTCAGGCATTTATCATGTCTTTGTGTTAGGAACTTTCCACTTCTACTCTTTTAAAGTTATTTCAAAGTATATCCTCTAGTTTCTTTGGAGTAGATTCTTTCCTTGCATGAGTCAAAAAACTCTCTGATATGTCAGTTTCATTTTTTCAGCATTTTTAGATGTAGACAGTTGCAGGTTGAGAATATAAGCCTTCTAACCTGATTTTAACAATTCACTCATAAATTAGGAAAAAGTATAAGTAAATTTTCTTTTAGAATGAGATGAAATATTCAACTCTAGTTTAAGTTAAAATTAATTTTTTAAATTTAAAAACTTTAAATATTATTGAGAAACAAATTAACAAACAATACCTAGTCTTTTTGTGTTCCTGTGTAGGTTTTAAGGAAAACTTTGGCGTTTAAAATAAGAATTTATTGAATGACAACGAGTTTACAGAGATTATAGCAGGAATAACCAAATCAGCTAGTAAATATAAACAAAAGTAAAGAGTGAAAGTACTGGGAAAAAATATTGAGTTAATCTCTGAAAACTACTTTTCCATACCTGAACCCCCTACCTTAGAATGAGGTCACACCAGAATGCACAGCACATATTCCATTGGCTGTCCAAGTGGTGAAGTCCTCACACATCATGTAGTCTCTGGAAAATTGTCCCCACGCTCAGCGAGAGGGATAAAGGCAAATAATGTTGTAGCTTTACTATGACAGTAGTTTCGAGTGCAAAGACGCCCTGGAGGGTTCCAACGGACTCCCTGGGCCCCCAGGCCAGCCTTGCACTGTTGGTTGTTCTAGATGTCTGAACCCACCATCAAGCTGCTTTAAAAGTCACTTCTGAAAATCATGCTGCCTTCTTTACATTTGCAACCGTAAAGTGGGAATGATAATTCTGTGTCAAAGATCCTTCTCATCCATGCCATAATCTGTGTCTTCTTGTAAGCTTCATTCTGGTGTCTTTGTCATACCATATATCTAAGGGCAAGGGTGAGAAAGTGAAAGAATGGTGGACATTGTTATTGCATGAAAATAAATAAGTTGACTAATTCATTTTCTGATCTTTTTTATTGGGAATTAAGTGTGTGCTTTTGGTTTAAGGCTAGGCTTTATTGGTATAGAATCTTACTCCTCGATTCAGTTTTTAGCTGGCAAGAATGAAGAATTTGGTAAGAAGGTCAGAGCTTTTCTATGGAAGGTCTTACTGCCCGTGTGTAACTGTGGGCAAACCTGGCTAGACTGGCATGGAGACCAGGAGTCCCAGTTTCGCCTCACAGGGCAGTGACTGCGCTGCGGCCTGTGCTGTCACCGGCCTTCTTCCATTAGTACCCACACAGCTCCAGCCAGAGGCCCGTGCTCTCGCAAACACTGCACTTAATGTTATAATTAGTTGGGATTCAATTGCCCATTAAACAAAGTGGCTTTATGGTAATGTGCTATTAAGATTGGAAACGTGTTAAATTAGGAGATATCTCATGCTATATTTCTTTGATTCTAAGATGCACATTTTGGCACATTGTAACACTGAAATTAGAATATCTTTTTCAAAGATGTATCAGTATAATTGATGGCATTTTTTTCCCCTTATTTTTGTGAAATAGCATTAGTTTTTGTTTTAATTTTGAAATAATATCTTCAAATTATTTTTGGTACAATTGCAAATGCCTATTTCATGAAGAACACTACAATATATTTTACTCTTTGATTTCTATGTTTTTCTTTTAGAAGACAAATAACATAGCAGTAATAATTTACATATATTTGTATATATATTTTTTCTGAAATGTGCATTTCCATATTAAGTGCTTCATAGTAAACAGGAAAATTAACATTAAACTCTGCTCATGTAAGTTTTTCAAAAAGGTGCTTCCTTTTTTTTTTAACCTATTGTGCTTATGTTTTCTTTTGTGTTTAATTTTGTTCATGACAGGTTTATTTTAGGACGGTGGAACTTATACAAGAGCCCATAAAAGGGTCTCCCGGTCTGAGTTTTTACTTTAAAATTAATGGATTTCCCATATTTCTGAAAGGCTCGAACTGGGTCCCAGCAGATTCGTTCCAGGATCGAGTAACCTCTGATGTGTAAGTTATCATCTTTCTTTTCTTGTTACTCTTTTAATTAACAGTCGCACGAAGCTGAAGAGTATGTACACTGTTCTGGTGATGGCATGCTGAAAGCCCTGACTTCAGCATGAGACAACTTTTCCATGTAACAAAAACACTTGTACCCCCTAGGTCTGTTAAAATTTAAAAAGTATGGGAAAAAGGTTACTCATTTTTACCTTCTTTATTCCCAGAGGAAGAAACTGAGAAATAGTGTAGAAATCTAGATGCCAGAAACTTTAGAATGGACAGAATTTTAAAATCATATATTCCATTCTCCTGGGCTATATAGATGGTCTTACAGCCAAATTATTTGAGATTGCTAAAGCTATCCAGTTTTTAGAAAACTATTATATATTTACCCTGAAGAAATAAGGAAATTACTAATTCATATTTTGGATAGGTAGTTCCCCCCCAAAAGAGTTATTAAACTTTTTTCGGTTTTTCAAAGAGTACATTAGATATTTTCGAGCATGATTTAAAAAGATGGGGACACATATTTTACCTTTTTATGCTAAGATATTTGCATATTCTTTTTTTTTTTTGAGACAGAGTCTCGCTTTGTTGCCCAGGCTAGAGTGAGTGCCGTAGCGTCAGCACCCTAGCTCACAGCAACCTCCAACTCCTGGGCTCAAGTGATCCTCCTGCCTCAGCCTCCCAGGTAGCTGGGACTACAGGCATGTACCACCATGCCCAGCTAATTTTTTCTATATATATTAGTTGGCCAATTAATTTCTTTCTATTTATAGTAGAGATGGGGTCTTGCTCTTGCTCAGGCTGGTTTCGAACTCCTGATCTCCAGCGATCCGCCCACCTTGGCCTCCCTGAGTGCTAGGATTACAGGCGTGAGCCACTGCACCTGGCCTACATATTTTATTTTTACCTTAACTAAAGAACTAAAAAAAATCCTTTTTCTCCTATAAATATAAGTGGAAAGAAAAAAAAAAACTTGGATGGGGAGAAGTAGGTCAGAGGCTACAAAGTAGCAGATATATTAGAAATCTAAGGTACAACATAAGGACTATAAGTAAAGAAATTATACTGTATATGAGATTCATGCTAAATGAGTAGATTTGAGCTGTTCTTGCCACAAAAACAAAGAAAAAAGGGTAAATGTGAGATGATGAATATGTTAATTTGATTCACCATAGTAACCTTTTTACTATCTATATGTATCCCATAACATCATGCCATATACCTTAGATACACACTATAAAATTTATTTAGAAACAAGATAAACTCTTAAAAATTCTAGATCCAGAAAAGTATTTTTCTGAGGCTTTGAGAGTAGAACTTTAGAAGAAAATAATATTTACTAATTGGGTTTATACATTTTTATCTTTGTGATAGTGAAAATAAACTGTGAATTGAAAATAAACATGTTAACTTATTTATCCTTAAAGCTAAATAACATTTTAACTCATTTACAAATGTAAAACTATGCATTATCATATATTATTTGATGTGTAGAATATAAACGTGGTTAGTAACTAAACCCAAATTTTGCCAAAAGTTGTAGTAATTTCCTTTTACTTCAAAAAGGACATATGCTTTTAGATTTTATAAGCAAATGAAATTCTCCAGACGCGGACGCAGGATAAATTGCTCTACCTTTTCATTTAACTTGCTCTTCTCCCCTCGGGGCTGGGCTGGCCGTGGCGGAGCAGCTGGCCCACCCGGTGCCTTTGCCCAGACCAAGTGCTCTGGGTCCCAACCAGCCCGTTATTGGGCTCCCTAATATCATTTCTAGGCATGATCTGGGGATGCAGGGAGGGTCCTTGTCCTCAAACTGCCTGTAAATTTCTAGATTATCCTGAGGGTAATGAGAATGGGAATTGGGAAGAGTAGAAAGGAAATTGACTAGAGAAAGAAGTGCTAGTCCAGAGCAGTTGTAAACAAGGAGAGAAGGGTGAGCTAGGCACTAGTTGTCAAGCTTTGGTTTTTGTTTTATAGTTTGAAATGGTCACATAAAACTAGCGCATACTTTCCAAGGCTTACCACTGTATTGTTCCATAGGAATGAATATAAAACAAAAATTTAGTTTAAAAATAGTACAATATTGTACCCATAATAATTAAAACAAAATTAATTATATAATAATTATTATATAATTATAATTAGTATAATAACTAGTATAATATTAGTATATATAATTATATTTAGTATAATAACTAAAAATTTAGAAAGCAGAGAAAAGATACCACCCATAATTTTTCTATATGTTTTATGTGGTTACAGTTACTGTATATATAATTTTATCTCACTTTCTTTAATTTGCATTATATTGAAATCATAATTTGAAAGTGTGTTTTTCTAACAGAGATTTGAAATGTGTTTATCACAATATGTTTTTTAAATTTTTTTATAAAAATTCCAAAATTTTGAAATCAGCATTTGTTTGTAAAATTTCTTCTGTAGCTTACGGCTCCTTTTGCAGTCTGTTGTGGATGCTAACATGAATACTCTCCGGGTTTGGGGAGGAGGAATTTATGAGCAGGATGAATTTTATGAACTCTGTGATGAACTAGGAATAATGGTGAGTAGTTGATAGCATTTTATATACAGATAAGTTACTATATCCTCAGTTTGACCTCCAGTGTTCTCAGTGGATAATATTGCTCCTTTTCTCAGAGCCAGGAATGATGCTCTATTTTTAGTGAAAGCAATAAATGTCATCTTGTGAACCCAGAGCCACAGTTGGTAGCAACTACCATAATTATTTTATTATTTTTAAATGATAGACATTCTACATATTAGTTATATCTAACTATATATCTACCTATATTTTCCTTGTAATTTTCTTTGTGATTTGTTGGTCTGTATAAAAACAAAGATAAAATATTTTTAAAAAATTTGACTTGAAGGAGCTCTGACAAAACCTACAGAGAAGAAAAATAATAAAATTAAGAGAAGAAAAGGTGTGCTTTTTTTTTTTTTTTTGGAGACAGTCTCACTCTGTTACCCGGGCTAGAATGCTGTGGTGTCAGTCTAGCTCACAGCAACCTCAAACTCTTGGGCTCAGGCAATCCTCCTGCCTCAACCTCCCGGGTAGCTGGGACTACAGGCATGTGCCACTGTTCCTGGCTAATTTTTTCTATTTTTAGTTGTTTGGCTAATTTCTTTCTATTTTTAGTAGAGATGAGGTCTGGCTCTTCCTCCTCAGGCTGGTGTCAAACTCCTGAGCTCAAGCAACCCTCCCACCTCGGCCTCCCATAGTACTAGGATTACAGGTGTGAGCTACCGCCCGGCCCCTAATACTGTTTTTAAGTACTCTCAACATGTTTTGCAATGGTGAGGATTAAGCAAAGGAAATATATAGTATTGTTCTAAAAATATAAAGAGTGCCATGGAAGAGTAGGAATTACAATAATGACAACGCTGATGGTCACAATGAGGACAATAATCTACACTTGTCATTGAGTGCCAGCCTTTTTCTAAGTGCTCTGCACGTATTATTTTATGTTATCTTCATGCCCATCTAATGAGGTACCGCATTTTCCCATAAATAAGATTTATTTTTCCTCAGGAAGACACCTAGGGCTTATTTTCAGGGGATGTGCTATTTTCCCCTCAAAGCCTCAGCTTGCAGCACGCACAGGGTGGCTGGGACCTGACTGGGGAGCCGACCTTGTTGGTGGGGCCGCCGCACCTTTCGGTCACCTCCGGGGCAGTAGCTGTCGCGCCCGGGCGGATGAGAAGGGCTCTCGTGTTCTTTCCCGCGTCCACGGCGCTCGCGTTGTGCAGACGCGCTGCGCAGCCACGCCCGCCACCAGGGCTGATTTTCGGGGTAGGGCTTCCATCGCGCACATGCTCAGACCTGCTGCCCGGCTTGTTTGATGGGGAGGGCTTGTTTTGGGGAACGCGGTGGTGCCCGTCGTCCTCTATCGCACGTGCAGGCGAGGAAGGGCGCCCGCAGGCTGCGCGCTCACCCGCGCCGCGCGGCCTCCCTGGCGGGGCTGGCGGGGCTGGCGGGGCTTCCGCGGTGTCAGGACGGAAGTGTGCGTGCCCTAACCCTTTTGGCCACGAGAAGTGGATTCCTTTATAAAAGAAGTATAATTCCTAACAGTGCGGGGCGCCCTGGCGCCAAACGCCGGGAAGCTCGGACCGCACGCGTGAGGAGGGCGGGGAGCTTTGTTTTGCTTCTCCCCGACGTGCTCACTCTTTCCCTTTCTGAATTCTCCTTGCTTCCCTTTCTTCCCTGCCTTCCTGCCTCACAGTCTCACTTCCCAGGTCTCCGCGGGGTCGCGCGGTCGGGAGGTCCCGCAGCTTGGGCGCGCGTGCTGGGCGAGGCGGGCGGCGCAGCGGCGCTCCTCCGGCTGCCCGAGTGCGCATGCGTGCGTGGTGCCCGGCGCTCGGACGGAGACTTTCTGTGCGATAACACTCACCCGAGTGCTTCTTGCCCTTTGTTGGATTTGACAGGTGTGGCAGGATTTTATGTTCGCCTGTGCCCTCTATCCCACTGATCAAGGCTTCATTGATTCGGTGAGAGCAGAAGTTGCTTACCAGGTATGTTATTTACATTCTAAGAAAGAAACTGCATATGTTTTAGTCTTTTGGTAAATCTCTCCTCATTTCTTTTTGTTGTTTTTTACTCAATTGCATGAAAAATGGGATTGCACTGTCAGGTCTGTGACACTGCAGGCGATTCCACCCTGTCGAGGCTTTGACACCAGCTCTGTGCCGCGACTTCCAGGTCAGCCCCCAGTCCCGACTTCCTCCCACTCCTTCTCGTATCCAGCTGCCCACCTGGTGCCTCTGCCTGGAGGCGTAACAGGCATCTCAGACGGAACATGTATGAACCAAACTTGTATTACCTCCCCAATCTTGCCTTTCCTGCTGTTTTGCCCACCTTAGCAAATGGCAACACCACTCTTTGAATTGCTGAGGACAAAATTTTAAATCGAGCCTTGATTCCTTGATTTTTTTTTTTGCATTCCACATATTCACACATATTTATATTCATAGATATAAAAATGCATGGAAGTGATTATATGCTATCTCTGTCCACTGAAAAGGCCTAGGAATAACAGCCAGCCTAGTAATACTGAGTATCCTTATACTGAAATAATTTTTCCTAATAAGAGAAAAGCTTCTTAGAGAATAACTGATTCCAGATCTGAGATAGGAATTATATTAGATGACCCTGGAATATCTTTTTTAAAAAATACCAATAGTGTTTATTAATCACAGATCTGAGGCTTATCAGCCAAGTACTGAATATTCTTATTTTTGCAGCAATGTCTGTTTAGGGGGTGATTGTGCTTTGAAATGCAGGTTGCATTATATCACCTATCTCCCACATCTTAAGTGTATGTCATGGGTTTCCATGGAGAATTAGAGAGGTATTTTTGGCAATATAAGAAAATGCTGAATCATGATGAACTCCTAAAATACAGTTTAGGAACTAACTTGTGAATGTATCATATGTTAGCAAAATACTATGAAACATTAATTGGAGTAGTTCATTAGTAATCATTAGAAATGGTCACTGGACAAGAAGATCATTCCTACTTTCTAGAGTTTGCAAGACTATGTAGACGTATTAAGTAGATTTTAGTGTCCTGCAGCATGTCAAAGAAGGGAACACATTCATTTTTTTGGTAACTTCAGGTAAAGCCATTATGTGAATTATTCCTAACATCCTGATTTCAGTTTCTCGTGTCCACTTGTCTGTTAGATTGTTTGCAGTGTTAATATACAGTGTTGATTTCTTCTTGAATGCTGCATCTGCCACCTGAGTTAGGCTACTTTACCTCTTGAGCTGTAATCTCTCTATCTATAAAACTGGTATGACCTCACTCTTCTCAGGAAACTGTTTATATCAGGATAATACGTGTAAGCAGTATAAAAGAAATACTAAATAATACTAACTGTCTCACTAACGCCACTAACTTGGCATGTCTTAAAAGTAAATCCATTATCTTTCATCCAATGCAGTCATTCAGTGTTTTTCATTTTGGTTGGAAATCTGAGAGTCATCTTTGGTACTTCTTTCTCATCTCCCACATCCAGCTGGTTTTAAAGTCCAGCCAATTTCTTGATACCAATGTTACTTGTTATTTGTACTTACCTTCCTATCCCTGTACTTACTGTACTAGTTCCAGCCCTCACTTTCTCTCCCCTCAACCATTGCATTTGTTTTCTAATTGACTTTCCTAGCATTGGTCTCTCCCAAGATGGGTGCATACTCAGGAGAGTTGCCAAAGTCACCTTCCATTGACACACTTTGCATCATCCCACACCCGTCTGCTGGGCCACGTCCCAGTGTGCCAGAAGAAAGAGACAGGTCTGAGGCTGTCTAGTGCCTGACACAGCTGGTGCCTTCATGTTGGGCCAAGCCCTGGTGAGCCCCGTTCATGTGGGCCGCATGTGGCATGGCTTTCAGATAGATCTTCTAATTTCCTCTTTTATATTTAGATATATTCACTGACTTACATAACATTGATGGATTTCTTGGGACATGACATTGATAGCTATTTCAGGAGACATCGTTTTGATTTCCGTGATCAGTTTTCCTGTAGAATATTCCACATTTGTCTGTGGCTTCCAGCGTACCTCTGGTACTCACTTGCTTTGTGAAACCTTCTCTAGTTCTCCTTTGGAGTTTCTGATCTCAGTGAAGACTGCATGGGAACCTCGATCCCCCTTCCAGTGGGAGTGTTTGCTCTGCCTCATGTGTTTCTTCACGTAAAACTCCAACTGGCTCTTGCTAACTAACCCCTATAATGTGATGTCCCCTGCCTTTTGTATTTCTTGCAATCTTTTTGCAGTGGAATCTTTTTGTGTCAATACAGATAATGGTAAGGTTGATTTCTTTTTCTTTCTTTTTTTTATAAAAAGGGATTATATAATATTTTCTTTAGTTTTTTTTTTTTTTCATTTCATCATGGAGCGGTAATTTTCTTTAGTTTTTATGCAGTAGAGAAGAGAATCTCCCTATCTTATCGGTGTTTATAAAATCTAGCTACAAAGAATCTTGGAGATTGCTTAAGATGTGTTCCCATAGCTAACATGACTAGACCATTTCGAATGAGTTTTTTGGCACATATGAACTCTATGTAGGTGATGGGGACACTTTTAACCCTGACTCGAACATTACAGAAGCAATCCATGTAACCAAAAACATTTGTACCCCCATAATACTTTGAAATGAAAAAAAAAAAGAATTTATGTGCAGAAATGCAATGGCTATAATTTTATGAATAATTATAGCTCTTGATTTTTTTAATATTAAATATTAATATTTGGAAATTATTTTATATTTTCTTAAATTTCAGATCAGGAGGCTGAAATCTCATCCCTCTGTTATCATATGGGGTGGCAATAATGAAAATGAAGCAGCACTGAGTATGGATTGGTATCATATCAATTTTACTTACCTGCAAACCTACATGGATGACTATGTGACACTTTATGTGAAAAACATCAGAGAGATTGTCTTGGCGGTAAGTGATGATTTTTAATGCAGTAGAATTTAAGAAAGTGGTTGTAAAGTGGGTAAGTTTGAACACTGGTATAGCATATTTTACGCCCCTCGTTAGGGCGGTGTGGAACAGTATCACCTGAGCGCAGGGCGTCGCATTGCTGTGCAGCAGCATGTGGAGGAGTTGCGGCTTGTAGACTTGAGCACTAACTGTCTGCGGTGCTCCCCCACACACCAGTGCTGTGCTGCAATTGCAGGTTGTCACACACTCCTTAAAGTCCATCTATGGATTCCCAAAGGTTTAGACTCTCTAGATTAGATGATTTATTGCTATGCCACTTTTGCAGTTCTGTAATGGTGAGTGTGAAGTAGAATGCTGTGTATATCATATATGAATATGTTAGTATGTGATTTAAGAGGCAAGGGGAGAAGGGAGCGCTGATTCCCAGCTCCACCTTCGGGCTCTTTCTCTACGGTGGTTCTCTTTGCACTACTGTTTTTCTAATAGGCACGTTATACAGATATACATTGATATAAACTCGCCTTTTTTGTGAGAAGTAGCATTTTTTTCAGTAATGCCTTATAAAGATTTAACTTTTAAAAAATTTTAATATTTATCATGTAATTTAATAATCTGGTTGTCTTTATAATTTTGTATCTGTAATTAGATGTTTGAAATATCTTGATATGTTTATTTGGAAGCAGTTTGCAAAGGGATATACTTTTTAAAATAGTACATGATCTTAGCACCTAAACATGCCCAGTTGATGATACTGTTCCATTTATGAGAAGAACTTCATTGAGAATTCATGAAAAACATGGGTTCAAATTTATAGCTTACCTGTTATACTAAGTCATGTGTCATGAAAAATTATTCTGTTCACAAAACGTGATGGCATGAGCTTTAGTTAATATTTATAGAATGTTTATTTTATAATCTTTTTACTCACTGTATTATGCTTTTCATAGCTGATAGATTTAAGAAATGAATTTTAATATCTTAGGATTTTAATTTCATAGCATAGTGGTTAAGTGCTTTTGAGTCAAGATCCTGGCTGGACCACTTCCTGTCTGTAATCTTGGGCAAGTTACTTAATCTCTATTTTCCCAACTATAAAACTGAGTTAAAAATAGGAACTAACTTTCAGGAATTTTATTTGGACTAAGTGAGATAACGTGTGGCAGGTACATGACATAGACCAGCGCACAGTAACTATTTAATTAATGCTAGTCCTCATCACTATCCTTGTGGTTTTATTCAGCAAGGTAGGTCTTCAGATACTTGACACAGTTAGATCACCAATTGTAACACTGTATTATTGACCTTAAAAAATTAGTTTCTTGGTGCCACTTCTTCTCTATCTCTGAAATGGAAATACGCCTTTCTCACAAGGGATCTATTTATCTTAAAACGAGCTGTGAGCAATAATTGATGTTTGGAAATTTCTTTCAAGATGGATAGTATTAAATGCTCTGTAATCACTACTGTGGTTATTTCTGTCAAAGCATAGGGCATGTAAGGGAAAGCATTGTAAACTGATTCGTCTACACGCTAACTGTAATAACTGGTTTCTCACTGCACTTCACGCTTTCTTTTATGGCCATTCTCTTGGTTCACCATACGGTTTCTCTTGGTCTAAATAAGTATTGATGGACATGACCTGGAAAAAGGTCATCTGTGAGATTCTTAACTATGAATAAAAAGTAGGCCTCAAGAATAAATGATTCATACATCTGGAAATTGTAGTGCATCATCCAGGGTAGATGTCTTCAGGAATAGACTCGTTAGTAATTTTACTGACTGGCCCCGTTACCGAATTGTTCAAGACCCTGGAGGAATAGAGGAAAATTGATTAAGCTTGATCATTCAGGGCCAATTGATTGGCTCTCTCTTCCCATTTTACTTCAAAGCCATTATACCAGTATTTTTAAAATTTTAAGATTACCTATAATCTTACCAGGACTTTTAATGTTTTTAAATTCAACCAACACGTACTGCGGAGCCATTGCCCAGAGAGAGCCTTGCCCTGCGTCTGTGACGACACTCCTGTCCTCGTGGGCCGCCCTGCCGTCAGAGCGAAACGCAGACAGAACTGCCAGTTCCACAGGGCAGTGAAAGAAGTGCTATAAAAAATGTAGTTCTGACTTTGTGGAAGAATATTAATTTTAATTGGAAGAATCTGAGAAGGCTTTCAAATGCAAGGCGACATTCAAACCAAACCTTAAAGGTGGAGTAGCGTTCTGAGGAGGACGTAAACAGGGCAATTACTGCACACCAGAGAGGGGCGCGGGCGCTGAAGGAAGTGCTCTCTTTGGTCAGTAGACCTCCACGCGGAGTTTCTGAAGACGTTTCAGTGGAGTAGAATGTTCGGGAACTGAATGTCAGGGCTGAGAAATGAGTGTGTGGTAAAGAAATCTGAGGAATGCAGGGAGTCCAGGGAACTTTTATTAGATTGAGGGGAGTCCTGGCTAGGCGCGGTGGCTCATGTCTGTAATCCCAGGACTCTGGGAGGCCAGGGTGGGAGGATCACTGAGCTCAGTAGTTTGGGACCAGCCTAAGAAAGAGTGAGACCTCATTTGTACTAAAAATAGAAAAATTAGCTGGGCACGGTGGCGCATGCCTGTCGTCCCAGCTACTCGGGAGGCTGAGGCAGAAGGATCGCTTGAGCCCAGGAGATTGAGGTTGCTGTGAGCGAGGCTGATGCCACACATCACTGTGAGCTAGTGATGCCGGCACTCTAGCCCGGGTAACAGAGTGAGACTCTGTCTCAAAAAAAAAAAAAAAAGGGTTGGGGCATCCTAAGGAACTAAGGAAGCTGAGAGAAAAGGGCAGTGGAGAGAGATTTCTCTCTCTTTTTTTTAATATTTGTTTTAGTGAAATCACCTTCCTCTTTTAAAAAATTATTATTATTATTTTTCTACAAACCCTTGTGACGAGGACTACTTTCAAGAGATCACAGCAAGGCGGCTGCTCTGCCGCTTAAGAACCAGACCCGAAGCGAGCTGCCTGCGCAGGGCTAGCGCCGGGTCCCTGGGACCTGCATTGGGCGGTGGGTGAGGCACAGGCTGAGACTGTCTTGAGGAGTGGAAGGCAGTTTATTGGCTGTGACAGCAAAGTGGAACAGAAGACGGCCAGAAGACAGACAGGCTGGCAGAGGAAAGGAGTAAGGGTTTATTTATTTTCTTTTTTTGAGATCAGTGTTTTTATTTCATTTACTTACAATGATTTCAGAAGAGATTGCAAAGAGGTAAATATATTTAAAGAATCAGACTCTTGTGAACAATGACATCATTAAAAGGGGCTTATTTTCATTAATAAGAAAGAGACGATTGGTGAGTTTTACTCATGACCAGGTTCCCTGTGGAGAGGAAGTCCTGCCTTCCTCCCCACCAAGGGGTTGCTGAAATCGTAAGCTCCAACCTCCACCAGTGATACAGGGTTTCCAGTTACGTAGGCAGATTCGTCAGAAGCCACATACACACAGAGCATGGCGATTACTTCTGCAGTTGCAAATCTTCCCGTCTTTTGTCTCTTCATGAAATCCTTCAGCGCCTCTTCAGGATTTCCTCTGGCTTGTATTCTTTCTTGCAGAGATGGGGTATCAGCCATTCCTGGGCACACACAGTTGCACCTGATCCCCTGCTGGATGAAATCTGCAGCCACAGACTTCGTGAGGCCGATCACAGCCGCCTTGGTTGTGCTGTACACACATCTGTTCACAACTCCTGTGACACTGGAGGCCACAGAGGACATGTTGATAATGTTGCCAGATCTCTGAGCAAGCACCTTAGGAAGGAATGCCTTGATCTTCAGGTACATGCTGTAGACGTTGAGATTCATCGAGAAGTCCCAGTTTTTCTCTTCACGGTCCAGGACAGTTCCATGATGGACAAAACCAGCAACATTAAAGAGAACATCAAGTCTCTCAACTTCATTGGCAAACTTGTCAGTTTGTTTCTTCTTTGTGACATCAAGGACCTGAATCTGAATACCCAGGTGCTTTTCCAGTTCCTGAAGTTTGGACTCATTGATATCTGTGGCTATGACTTTGGCACCTTCTCTTGCAAAAGCTAAGGCAGCTGCTTGCCTGACGCCCTGAGTAGCAGCTGTCAGGACAATGACTTTCCCATTAAGTCGACCCGTGGTGGAACCTGCAGTTTAACTTTAAAGCAGCGAGGGGATGGCGTCCTCAGGGTCCTCCAAACTAGAGACCTTTGTGCAGAAGTCAGGTGCTTAGTAAGGCGCGCTGGGACTTTTAGTTCAGACCTTTTATTTATTTTCTATGACAGAAGAGAAACAAGGAAAAAAAATTTGAGTGGCTAGATCAAGAAAAAGAAAAACCTAAGGGGGAAGTTGAGAAAATTATTTTCTGAAAGTCTGTTCTATTTCTCAGAGAAGCCTTCCTGACCTTCTTACAATATGTTTGACATTCCCAGAGAGCTCAGTACTTTTCCTTACAAACATCTGTCGCATTTGTGATTACTTGTTCCGTGTCTGCTGTCCCCTCCGGATTGCCAGCTGTTCCCGTGAGAGGTCAAGCGCCGTGTCTGTTCCCTGCTGAGCTTCCAGGCCCTGGAAGGAGTCGCGTGCCTGCCCTGCGGCCGTGCTCAGAGTGGATGTGTGAGCACGTGGTGAAGTCACAGACCCCTAAGCGCCCCTCTCTGCAGTGCTGGAAATGCCCGCACACAGTCACCGTAGACAGGTCCTTGCTAAGTGAAGGAATCTTCTCAGGGGAATAGGAAGTGAGCTCATCTGTCTAGAGCAGGGTCCTCAGACTTTTTAAACGGGGCCAGTTCACCGTCCCTCAGACCGTTGGAGGGTCGGACTATAGTTTAAAAAAACTATGGACAGATTTTTATGCACACTCACATATCTTATTTTGAAGTAAAAAATCAAATGGGCAGAAACGCCTGCACGTGGCCCGAGGGCCGTAGTTTGAGGACGCCTGGTCTAGATGATAAAAATTGCAGCATTTTGAGTTCTGCCCTGTGGAAGGCGCTACATGCTAGTGGCCGTAACAAGTGAGCCACCCTGTCCCTGCCGCTCCTGTGATAGATGCTTACTGTTCCTGACGCTGTGGGTGGCTGCTCCTGACTGACAGGCGTCTCCTTTCAGAGCCGTGGGCTCCGTCCACATGCCAGCCCTGGCGTCTCCTAGGCCCTCACCCCCACCTGCGGGGAAGGACACGAATGAGGCACGTGGCCCCACACAGGGCTGGGAAGCCACTTCCTGGGGGCAGCTCCACATTACGGACACGGGAATATGGGTTTTGGTGGACACTGCACTGTCTCGTCCACCAGGAGTCATCCCTGTGTACAGTGCCTCTCTGAAAGAGTTGTCGTCATCACCCTCAGTGCTCAGCTAAGATTACTAAGGCGTCTACCTGAATGCTGAGGTTCTGATTTGGGATTTAACTCGGGTCTCTTTGACTCACCAGCTTCTGTTCTTACCCACCAGACCTGTGGTTCTCAAATGGAGGTGATTTTTGCCCCAGGGCATGTGGTGATGTCCGTGGGCATTTTCCAGGTGAGGGGACTCCTGCTACCTAGTGGGCAGGGCCCAGGGATGCTGCTAAATACCCTGCACTGCATTAGACAACCGCCACCACCCAAAACGCCTCCAGCCCCAAGTGGCAATAGGGCCAAAGTCCAGGAACTCTGGACTAGACTGTGCACTGCGGCGGGAGTGGAGGCGAACGTGCCTGGGAAGAGCAGGAACAGCTGCGGTGAGGGCGAGCTGAGCGTGCCTTAGGGTGTAGGATGCAGCGAAGAGCAGAAAGGTGCCGGTGCTTGTTGAACAGGGAGGAGGTAAATGATCCCAGTAATTTTCTCTCAGCTTCTGGGCGTTCCTAGGCCTCGTTAATACCTTTTTTTTTTTTTTTTTTTTTTTTTGAGACAGAGTCTCACTCTGTTGCCGGGGCTAGAGTGCCATGGCGTCAGCCTAGCTCACAGCAACCTCAAACTCCTGGGCTCAAGCGATCCTCCTGCCTCAGCCTCCCTGGTAGCTAGAACTACAGGCATGCACCACCATGCCTGGCTAATTTTTTCTATGTATTTTTAGTTGGCCAATTAATTTCTTTCTATTTTTAGTAGAGACGGGTTCTCGCTCTTGCTCAGGCTGGTCTCGAACTCTGACCTCAAGCAATCCACCCACCTCGGCCTCCCAGAGTGCTAGGATTACAGGCTTGTGCCACTGTACCCGGCCTCATTAATACCTTTAAAGAAGTAAGTGATGTGTACTTTACTGTATGAAAATATTATCCTCTAACTCATTTTATTTCTGAATCCAGGGAGATAAGAGTCGTCCTTTTATTCCGTCCAGTCCTACAAATGGGGCTGAAACCATTGCAGAACACTGGATCTCTAAGAACCCTAATAGCAAATATTTTGGAGACGTACATTTTTATGATTATATCAGTGATTGCTGGAATTGGAAAATTTTCCCAAAAGCTCGATTTGCATCTGAATATGGATACCAGTCTTGGCCTTCCTTCAGCACCTTGGAAAAGGTAAGCCATTGCTTGATTCTGCAGTGGTTCCAGACGGTTGGTGATGGGTGCCTGTGACTTCTGAGCAGTGGTTCAGAAAGTCCAAGGAAATCTACTTATTTAAATGAAAATTTGAGAAGAAGGTGAAAGGAAAGAAATTTTTTCTCCCTTTAATCTTTGGGAAGCTAAATTCTTGTAATCATTATTTTGGGGATTATAACTTTTCTATATTGCTTTTAATTATGTTTCTTCAGAGGTGTTTACAAATGAAATGGGAGCCAGTAGCTTCTTAACCCTGGCCCATTGTCACACACAAAAATCACTCTTACTTGCTATTTTTTGTATCTCCTCCAACTGCTTTACCGTCTGCGGGTATTCTGAGCTGGGTGTTTCACTACAGTAAGGGAGATAAATAAACCAGTGTCTAATGTGATCGTGTCTTTCCTTCCCCTTCCTCTTCCTTTTTCCTCTTCCCTTTCCTCCATGTACTTCTCCTCCTCCTTCTCCTTTTTCTTCACGTTGGTGTATTTGATTTTCTGTATTTGATTTGAAAATCATCTGTATTTGATTTGAAAATCTGTGTGGATTTTCACGTTCTTCATTCTTAAAGATTCAGTTTTGGCATTGTGTGTGTTCTTTTTAAAATATATATGTTGAGATATAATTCATTTGCCATGCAATGCACCCATTTAATGTGTACAATTCAGTCATCTTCAGCGTGTTCCTACCCACTCTGTCCCTCCTACTCCAGCCCTCGATACTACTAATCTACTTTTTTTTTTTTTTTGAGACAGAGTCTTGCTTTGTCGCCCAGGCTAGAGTGAGTGCTGTGGTGTCAGCCTAGCTCACAGTAACCTCAAACTCCTGGGCTCAAGGGATCCTCCTGTCTCAGCCTCCCGAGTAGCTGGGACTACAGGCACTCGCCACCACACGCCCAGCTAATTTTTTCTATATATTTTTAGTTGGCCAATTAATTTCTTTCTATTTATAGTAGAGATGGGGTCTCGCTCTTGGTCAGGCTGGTTTCAAACTCCTGACCTCGAGCAATCCGCCTGCCTCGGCCTCCCAAGTGCTAAGATTACAGGTGTGAGCCACCGCGCCCGGCCTACTAATCTACTTTTTTTTGAGACAGAGTCTCACTCTGTTGCCTGGGCTAGAGTGCTGTGGCATCAGCCTGGCTCACAGCAACTTCGAACCCCTGGGCTCAAGCAATCCTTCTGCCTCAGCCTCCCCAGTAGCTGGGCCTATAGGCATGCGGCACCATGCCTGGCTAATTTTTTCTATATATTTTTACTTGTTCTGCTAATTTCTTTCTATTTTTTTTAGTAGAGATGGGGAGCGAGGCTCTTGCTCAGGCTGGTCTCCAACTCTTGAGCTCAAATGATCCGCCTGTCTCATCTGCCTGTCTCGGCCTCCCAGAGTGGTAGGATTACAGGCGTGAGCCACTGTGCCCCGCCCTAATCTACTTTTTGTGTCTATAGATTTTCCTATTCTGCACATTTCCATGATTGGAATAATATAATATCTGGCCTTCTGAGACTGGCTTCTCTGACTTAGCATGTGTTCAGAGTTCATCCATGTTGTACCATGTATTAGTACGTCATTGTCATTCCTTTTTATTGTTGAGTGATATTCTGTTGCATGGCTGCACATTTTGTTTATATGTTTATCAGTTGATGGACATTTGCGTTATTCCTGCTTTTTGACTATTATAGTTAATGCTGCTGTGAACATTTGTGCACATGTTTTTGTGTGAACATGTGCTTTCAGTTTTACCGTATTCCACCTAGGAGTGGAATTGCTGGGTTGTATAGTGTCTCTGTGTTTAACATTCTGAGAACTCTCAAATTGTTCTCTGTAGTGAATGCATTATTTTACATTCCTACTAGCCATTTATGAGGGTTCCAATTTCTCTACCACCCTTGACAGCACCTGTTATTTTCCACTTTTTTTTATTTCCCTGGAAATTTACATTTACAGGAAATTTACATTTCCTTGATGGCTAATTATGTTGAGCTTCTTTTCATGTACTTGCCAACCATTTGTATATCTTCCTTTGTGAAATGTCTATTCAAATTCTTTGTTTTTAAATTGAATTATTTGTCTTTTTATTATTGAGTCGTAAGGGTTTTTAAATACGTTCTGGATATATCAGAGATATGTGCTTTGCAAATATTTTCTCCCAATCTGTGAGTTGTCATTTTACTGACTTAATGGTATCATCTATAGCACAAAAAATGTTTAATTTTGGTGAAGTACTACTTAGAAAATCTCTTATATCTTGTGTTTTTGGTGTCGTATCTAAGAAATCATTGCCTAACCCCAAATGACAAAGGCTTACTCTTGTGTTCTCTTCTAAGAATTTTATAGCTTTAGCTATTGTGCTTAGATTTATGAATCATTTTACTTATTTTTTATGTATATTGTGAGATAAGAGTCCAGGTCCATTCTTTTGCATGTGGATTGCCAGTTGTTCCAAGACCATTTATTGAGAGCACTATTCCTTCCCTCATTGAATTCTTTTTTTGCCCCAAATCAGTTGACCACAAAAGTTAGGGTTTATCTCTGAATTTTCAATTCTGGTCCAGTGGCATATTTTATGCTACTATGCGTTGTCTTGATTGCTGTAGCTTTGTAGTAAGTTTTGAAATCAGGAAGTGTGAGTCCACCAACTTTGTTCTTTTGTTCAAGATCGTTTCGACTACCTTGGGTCCCTTGTAGTTCTGAATGTTTTGGGTTCAGCCTGCCAGTTTCTGCAAAAAAGCTAGCTGGGATTTTGATAGACATTGTTTAATCTGTAGATCACTTTGTGAGCGTTGGCTCTTTTAACAAGATTGTTTTCTTGTCTTTGAATGTAGGATGTCTAATTTCTTTCAACATCGTATTATAGTTTTCAGTGTACAAGTCTTACACTTCTTTGGATAACGTACTCCTAAGTGTTTTATTTTTTTTGGTGCTATTGTAAATGGAACTATTTTCTTAATTTCATTTCTATATTGTTCATTGTTAATGTATAAAAACACAATTGATTTTTACATATTGAGCTTGTATCCCACAAAGTGGCTGAACTAATTTATTAGCTCTAACAGTATTGGGGGATTCTTTAGGGTTTTCTATACATAAGATCATGGCATCTGTAGATACAGATAGGTTTACTTTCTCCTTTCCAATCTGAGTGTCTTTTATTTCATTTTATTGCTTAATTGCCCTGGCTAGACCCTCCAGTACAATGTAGAAAAAAGTGGTGAGAAAAGAAGTCCTTGACTTGTTCTTTTTCTGAGGGAGAAACTCAAGTCTTTTACTATCTGATATGAACTATAGGTTTGGTAACTATAGTATGATGCTAACTATAGGTTTTTTTGTGTGTGTAGATGCCCTTTTTAAGATTGAGAAAATACCTTTTTGTTTCAAGTTTGTTGAGTGCTTATATCATGAAAGAATGTTGGATTTTGTCAAATGCCTTTTCTTCCTCTACTGAAATGATTATGTGGGTTTGCACCTCTGTATCCCTTATGTAGAGTAATCACAAAAATATTTTAAGACAATTTCAAAATCTTCCTCAATTTTACCATCTTAACACAGGTATATTTGCTTCTATACTTTGAAGTTATACTTTTAACTTTAGTAAATAATATCATAACCTTAGTTCTGCCCTTTATTTTTTAAACATTAAAATTTTTTAGCCAGGCGCGGTGGCTCACGCCTGTAATCCTAGCACTCTGGAGGGCGAGGGGACGGGATTGCTCGAGGTCGGGAGTTCGAAACCCAGCCTGAGCGAGACCCCCCGTTTCTACTAAAAAATGAAAGAATATTAATGACAACTAAAAGTATATATACAAAAATTAGCCCGGGCATGGTGGCACATGCCTGTGTCCCAGCTACTCGGGAAGGCTGAGGCAGGAGGATCGCTTGAGCCCAGTAGTTGAAGAGGTTGCTGTAGCTAGGCTGACGCCACGGCACTCACACTCTAGCCTGGGCAACAAAAGTGAGACTCTGTCTCAAAAAAAAAAAAAAAAAATTTGTTTTTATTACTGTTTTTTTAAATTATTATTATTATTTTATTTTTTTGAGACAGAGTCACGCTTTGTTGCTCAGGCTAGAGTGAGTGCCGTGGCGTCAGTCTAGCTTACAGCAACCTCAAATTCCTGGGCTCAGGCAATCCTCCTGCCTCAGCCTCCCAAGATAGCTAGGAGCTACAGGCATGCGCCACCATGCCCGCTAATTTTTTTTTCTAATAAATATGTTAGTAAGCCAATTAATTTCTTTCTATTTATAGTAGAGACGGGGTCTCGCTCTTGCTCAGGCTGGTTTTGAACTCCTGACCTCGAGCAATCCGCCCGCCTCGGCCTCCTAGTGTGCTAGGATTACAGGCCTGAGCCACTGCGCCCGGCCTTGTTTTTAATTAATAAATAAAATTGTGTGTATTTATGGTGTACAACATGCTGTTTTGAAGCATATATGCATTGTGTAATGCCCATACCACTTGTCTGTTTTACTGCTCCAAAATTATGGGGCTAATCTTTAGGCATTCTGTTTTTACGAAATGAAGGAAGATGAAGTTCAATGTCCTGACCCAGGTAGGAGCAGGGGTTGAGAATGGGGAGGAAGCAAGAATATTTACTGAGCCATTGCTCTGGACTAGGTACCTGTTTTTTTAAACAGTATTCCACTCCTCCACTTTGACTGGGGCCCAGGAGGAAACAGGCCCTGCAGGGTTGGGTTCTGTCCTGTGCCCCAGGTAGTAAGTAGCGGGTACCTGGATTCACACTTACTGTCTGACTCCAAAGCTGATAGATTTTCTTTTCACTATACTTTAGAAAGGTCAGTGTTAGAAATTGTCAAACCTTTTCTACAAACATTTCTATTTACCTCCTTAAAATAATGGAATCACCATGCTTTTGTGAAATGTCTGCTGATGTTCAGAGATACAGAAACACTATAGTTTAAAATAGGAAAAGGGGAAGGAAGATAAATGCTGCCCATTATGAACCATCTGTTATCTCTTGATTTAATCACCTCTTTTTAAGCCACACTTCTTAGTTGGGAATTTGAATAGGAAATTGGGAAAATAAAAGAAACCAGAAGAATGCCTATACATAAAACTTTGGCTCTTTTATTCAGAAGTTTGTTTCATATAGTTGACACATCTATTAAAATATTTCTCTTTAATTTGTGATACATTACTTTTTCATAAAATAATAATACTGCACGGTGACTAAAAATTTGGGCTTTGGAATAAACAGAACTGGATTGAATATGAGAACTGCCACATACTCACTGTATCACCTTGGAAAAATTGTTTAATCTCTTGAATTTCAGTTTCATCATCTGTAAATTGGGGTTAATAGTCAATACCTCATGGAGGGGTGTGTGTGTGCAGGTGTGCGCAAGTACATGTGTTCATGTGTAGATTAATTAATTAATCCATTGAAGCACTTAGCACAGTTCCTGACACACAGTGAGAGCCCATTAATGTAACCCATTCTAGCCATGTGATTTGCATGGAAGTTGTATTTTCTTCAAATGCTTCTAGGGTTAGTGAACTAAGGGCCAGAGCTAGACTGCACTAAGTAACTTGGGACATTGGTCAAGTGACTTAACCTTTCTGTGCCTTGTTTTCACATCTCTAACATGGGGGAGATAATAGTGCCTACCCATAGAGTTGTTGTGAGCTGTTATGAATTAATATTCTTAAAGCAATTAGAGCTCGACAGGAGGAGTAAGTATTAGTGTTCTACAGCACTGTGGGCGACTATAGTTAAGGATAACTTATTGCATATTTTCAAATAGCTAAAAGAGAAGATTTTGAATGTTTCTGACACAAAGAAATGTTAAATGTGTGAGGTGATGGATATGCTGCTTAGCCTGGTTTGATCGTTATACATTGTATACAAGCATCCAAATGTCACACTGTACTCCATAAATATGTACAATTATTGTGTCGATTAAAAGTAATAAAAGTAAATTTAAAAAAAGGAGGAAGAATAGAAAGAAGACTATTGGTAAAGGTGCATGCATCCAAAACGTGTACAAGATGATTGTAAATGCGAATGCCTCTTTTAAATAGATAATAGGAGTAGTGTTCTTTAAATGATTATGATGGTGGCAATTTGGGAAAATAGATATAATGTGGAAAAACCTCCAAATTAAATGTGGCTAATGTACATTTCTTGTATTTTGGTATGAATCAATTCCCAAAGAGTAACTTTTTCCTTCTAAGGCAGTTGGCCTCTGTGTTGCCTGATTACTGGGAATGAGTCACAGTTTATGAATAGGGATTAAGCTTTTTAATTTTCAGATTTTTGGGGTGGGGATACAGAGTAGGTTTTTTCAAAGTCTGTGTAATTTGGATTAAAACTCCAGATATTTTGAGATATAACCTGTAATTGTCTTATACTTTTCTCATATGCTAACACTGTATTAAATTATAGGCCTAGAAGCCTGAATTGTTGCTTTTTTTTTTTTTTTTGTAAAAGGTACACTCCAACATGTGTGAGTTTTTTACTCTGTTTTTTACTTTGAGCTGATGATAAAAAAAAGATCTTTATAAATTAAGATAAAAGGGATAAAATAAAGATCCTATAAATTGTTCTTGGCTTTAAAAAAAAGATTGGTTCTTAGGGGAGAGGAATATCATTATTTGGTTTGTGTCTTCAGCTATATAAAGATTGAACATATGTTTATCAGTCACTGAGAAACAAATGAGCAGTATGAGCAAGCTCGGAAGCATTGGCTGTTGTCACAGTGGTGTTTTGTTCCTATTTAGGAATTGTCATAGTTTTATAAGAATGTTGATTGCATTATATTATTCAGTTTTGACAAGCTAATAATAGGTAAAATCACATTTACCTAAATAGATAAAATGATATTTTAAAATACACATAGTGAGGTCGGGCGCGGTGGCTCACACCTGTAATCCTAGCACTCTGGGAGGCCCAGGCAGGAGGATTGCTCAAGGTCAGGAGTTTGAGACCAGCCTGAGCAAGAGCGAGACCCCATCTATACCAAAACTGAAAACATTAGCCGGGCATGGTGGCGCATGCCTGTAGTCCCAGCTACTCGGGAGGTTGAGGCAGGAGGATCGCTTGAGCCCAGGAGTCTGAGGTTGCTGTGAGCTAGGCTGACACCACGGCACTCTAGCCCGGGCAACAGAGTAAGACTCTGTCTCAAAAAAATAAATAAATAAATAATAAAATAAAATAAAATACACATAATGAGTGTTTCAAAAGCCAGGAATATGTTTTGATAAGGCAAGGCTTTTTAGAGAAACACCAAAATGTAACTTTCTTGGTTTGAATAAGGAAAGAAATAGGTGCCGAATCCTGGTTTTCTGTTTTAACTTTGCGAAAGTTAATCAATAACAAGTATGATGGTGAAACATTTATGAAATTAGGGCTACAGAACAAGCCTTGAGCTCTTTTCCAGCATGTACTTTCTAGGTTTGTCAGGAACTTATAGAAAAGTAGTTTTACTGCCAACCTTCAACTTTATAACTCTTATTCTTTATTCAAAAGGTCTCATCTAAAGAGGACTGGTCTTTCAATAGCAAATTTGCACTTCACCGACAACATCATGCAAATGGTAACAATCAAATGCTCAATCAGGCCAGATTTCATTTCAAACTCCCTGAAAGCACAGACCCCTTACGCGAATTTAAAGATACCATCTACCTTACTCAGGTAAGTCACTTTCATTCCCGAGCCGAACAGCTTCCTGCAGTTAATGTAAGAGATCATGTGGATTTTGTGGTGAAAAATATTCAGGTATTCATTCTACTGCTTAAGGAATTTCTTTTCTTTGAACTACATGTTTGAGGACATGCAAGACTTAAAGTAATTAATTTTTGGCTTTTGCTTCTCTTAGAAGAACAGTTCAAAAAGTTCTAAAATAAATTGTACATTCAAATCTTCCTTACTTCAAGATTACTATAAAGGTTCAGTAATTTAGACAATGGCGTTTCCCCAGGATAAAACAGAACAATGGAACACTATTAATAGAGTCCAGAAACAGACTCATGCATAATATGCTCACCTGACTTGTAGCCGTAACGCCTCTACAGGTCACTGTGAAAAAGACAGTTTTATCAATAAACAGTGCTGTAAAAGTGGATACCTTTCTGAGAAAATAAATGAACCTGGACTCCATATGTAAATATTAATTTTTTTTTTTTTTGAGACAGAGTCTTGCTTTGTTGCCTGGGCTAGACTGAATGCCGTGGCATCAGCCTCGCTCACAGCAACCTCAAACTCCTGGGCTCAAGCAATCCTGCTGCCTCAGCCTCCCAAGTAGCTGGGACGATAGGCATGCGCCACCGTCCCCAGCTAATTTTTCTATATATATTAGTTGGCCAATTAATTTCTTTTCTATTTTTATAGTAGAGACGGGGTCTCGCTCTTGCTCAGGCTGGTTTTGAACTCCTGACCTTAAGTAATCCGCCCGCCTCAGCCTCCCAGAGTGCTAGGATTACAGGCATGAGCCACTGCACCTGGCCGTAAATATTAATTTGATCAATGATAAAAGACTCCAACGTGAAAGGTAGTACAATAAAGCTTCAAGAGGAAAACATAAGAGTATCTTCATGATCTTGGGATAGGCAAAGAGTTCTTAAATAGAACATAAAAAGAACTAACTATAAAAGAAAATGTAAAGATTAATTATACTTTATTAAAATTATGGACTTTCAAATAACTAAAACACAACTAAGAGAGAGAAAAGGCAAGCCATGGATTGGGGGCCAGTAGCTGTAATTCATATGTCTGATAAAAGATTTATGTCCAGAATAAAGAACTTCTATAAAGCAATACAAAAAATATAGGCAACCTGTTAAGAAATGGACAGCAATCTTGAACAGGTACTTCACCAAAGAAGCTATCCAAAGGGTCAATAAATATATGAACATGTGCTCAACCTCATTTCTGAGGACATGCAAATTAAAGCCAAACCAGGATATCTCTGCACACCCAGGGGAATGGCTAGAATTAAAAAGATTGACAATGCAAACTGTTGTCAGCTGTATTGTGAGACAGCTGGGAATTTTAGACATTGGTAGGAGGAGTGTACATTTGTTTAACATTTTGGAAAATTTTATGGCAGTTTCTAATCTAAATGTTTGCTTCCCTTTTGAATCAGCATTTCTACTCTTAGCTATGTACCTAAGAAAAATGAGTGAGTATGTCCTACTAGCAAACGTTTAGAATAATGTTCATGGTAGCATTATTCATAATAGCCCCAAATGAGAAACAACCTAAATGTCCTTCAACAGGAGAATTTATAAACAAATCATGGTATAGTCATGCAATGGAATACTCCACAGCAACGAAAAAGAATAAACTACCAAGTTGATATCAGTATCAACTTGGATGAGTCTCACAGACATTATATTCAGTAAAAAAAGAAACCAGACGTAAAAGTGTACATACTGTATCGATTCCTTTTATATTGAAATTTATATTGAATTTGCACATGTTGTGGCATGCACCCTACAAGATGTATTTTAAAAATAGTTGTATTGAGATATGATTGACACACCAGAAAATTCACTCATTTTAAATATATGATTAAGTGATTTTTAGTATATTTATAGAGTTGTACAACCATCATAATGGGCCAATTTCAGGATATTTCTGTCACCCCAAAAAGATCCCTCATGCCCATCTGTAGTCACTTCCCTTTCCTGCCCCAGGAAAACATAAATCTATTTTCTGTCTCTATAGATTCATACGGTATGTAATCTTCTTTGCATCTGGCTTCCTTTTTCTTTTTTCTTTTGTAGGGGACAGGGTTTGCCCAGACTGATCTTGAACTCCTGGGCTCAAGTGCTCATCCCACCTCAGTCTTGGAAAGTGCTGGGATTATAGGCGCCCAGCTTGAATCTGGCTTCTTATACTTAGAGTAAGATTTCTGAAGCCCATCCATGTTATAGCATGTATCTAGACTTCATTCCTTTTTCTTGTCAAATAGGATTCTGTTGTATGGATATAAACGTTTTGTTTATCCATTTATCAGTTGGACATTTGGATTGTTTCCACGCTTTTCGTGTGTTTTTTTGACTGTTGTGAATAATGCTGCTATGAATACTCACAAATCTTTGTATGAACATATATTTTCTTTTTCAGGAGTAGAAATATACAAATGGAATTGCTGAGTTATATGGCACATTTATGTTCATCTTTTTAAGACACTGCCAAACTGACTTTTAGATAACATTTTCATCTTAATGTTTCCATTTTACTTTTTTTGCCTGTTTTATTTCATAAACCTGTGACTACACACATACTCAAAATTGTATTAAAGCCACTGCTTATTTACCTGATACTTTGTCATACTTGTTTCAAGTTCTTAAAGAGAAGGTAGAAACCTAATCCCGATCATATGGGTTGATCTGAAATAGATCAGGAGTCTTTGTTTAAACATAATCTCACTTAAGTTTTCCTATCTTGGTATCTGAAAATGTAACAATTTTATCCAAACTCATGCTCACTTTCATCATTTCCTTCTGTATGAAAACACAAACCCATGAATAGAAGCTGAAGCAGACTGCTGTAAACTGAAAGGATAATCTTTTTTAGAAGGTGAGGAAATGATTGAGAATTTTAATGTTTCAACCATTAGCTCACAAGCTAGGAAAGTTGTGCCAGCGTGATGTGTAACTCATGGACTTAGCAGAACACAAGGCTGCAGGTAATGTTGATATCTGTCCCTTAAAGCTGTGGTCCCAAGCCGTGGCTGCAGACTGATGCCCACCACAGCCTGTGGGAGCCAGGCCGCACAGCGCGAGGCCGGGGGCTGTGAGCCGGCGCAGCTGTCTGTGTTTGCGGCTGCTCCGGTCACTCGCGTCGCCGCCTCCCGGACGGCAGCGGCGGCATTAGGCTCTCACAGGAGCGGAACCTGTCCTGAACTGCGCATGCGCGGGCCTGGGCTGCGGCTCCTTGTGAGACTCTAACGCTGATGGTCCGAGGCGGAGCTGAGCGGTGATGCCAGCGCTGGGGGCGGCTGCGGCTGCAAATACGGATTTCCATTAGCAGAGAGGTCTGACTGCACAGTAAACATAACGGGATTGAATCCTCCCGAGACCATCCCCCCACCCCCATCCCCTGTCCATGGAAAAATTGTCTTCCGTGAAACCAGTCCCCTGGTGCCTAAAAGGTTGGGGACCCCTGCTTTAAAGTATTGCAGCTCACCTTTTAATATTTTCATATCCAATATTCTGTTAAAGTGTTTTGATGCATAAAATACGCTGGTCCTTATTCCTGTGCGTGCGTGTTTGTGTGAGAACCTTTTCAGCTACTGTTTTTCATGCTGGCTCTCCTTCCAGGTGTTCATTTTATTACTTTATTCTATCCCTCAAAATCACATTCAAAGAACTGACAGAAATAATTGTTCTTTCCTGAACTCATCAGCGTTCAAGGTCCACAGTTAGGAGCTGAGCATACAAGTGGAGTGAGTTAGTTGTTGCCGGTTTTTGTTGGCGCTGGGTTTTGTCTGAGAACTTTGCATTAGTGGCCTGTCAGTCTTTGGCCCCGAATTGGACATGTTCATTTATGGCTTGTTATTTTCTACCTTGATGCTTTCTAGTGGACTAGATGGGATCTGCCAGAAAAGAAATCAGAATTATGATTGTTTTATTTTGATTTTAGTGTCAGATTTTCTTAACTGAAGTGCGTACAGGAAATGTTAGGATAAAAAAGGGTTGTTTTTTCTTATTGTTTTGATATTAGAACAATCATCTTTAATCTGTGTATTAGAAGAAATCCTTTGGTGGTCCATTTTCTCTGTTCCTGCTTCCGCCCCCTGTTCTTTTTCTCATAGTCTCTTATACTGTTGGGAATAATGGCGTGTTTGCCCATGTGCCACTCTTTTTTTATTAATTAAGCAACTTTTGCAACTGTCAGAAAAGTCTTGGCTGACAAAGCTGTGCATAAGTTTTTTCCTATTTAGATCCTTCCCTGTCTTCTCCTTATCTTATCGCCACAAAGGTATCCTTCCAGGCTCTTGCCTGGAATTCTCCTTACATTCCAGCATAATCTTGCCGCACCTTTCGTTCTCCCTCTTATCCTGTTCTGTTGTATTCCAAATAGCCCATATACTAGGCACAGTCTCCTAAGCCGTGTTACACAGAAGTCACTCCCTAGTTTAAGGATGGTCACATCTAAACTAACCTTTAAGTGACTTGCCCCACCAGCATGGCCTCTTACTAGCCACTTAGAGAGGAAGCCAGGCTGGTGACATGCATTACCAATGCCTTAGCTTACAGCCCTCTCTCGTGCTTGTTTATTCTTCACTTATCTATTGAGCATCTGATGATTGCTTGGGGATGTCCTTGAGAAACACACTGTTTAGGGGCCCATTTTATCTCCCCATGCTCCAAGTAACTTGAAAAAGCTCAGGAAAAGCTGTGCTGTAGGCACCGTGTGGGTGATACCTGCTGGCCTGGACCAGTTATTTGAGTTATTTGCTTAGTGAGCCGCGTGAGACATGACGGAAGATTCAAGCGATACTGAGCTTTTAAGATGGGGGTAGGGCAGGCAAAGGAGGAGAATAAAGGTGATTGCTAATATCATAGGTTAGATATCAGAAGCCTTTGTAGACGTGGTGTGTATGATGTCAGGCAATCAACATTCTTTGGGTGTCTGCTAAATGCCTGGCCCTGGCCATGCAGAACTTTGTAAACCTTCTTATGTAATTCTCACAGTATCTCCAGACATCCTATGGCTGTTTCCATTTTATACATGAGGATACAAAGGCTCAGAAAGGTTAACGATTTTGCCCAAGGACTCAGGGCAATGAATGGAGCAGGGTTTCTACTTACCAAATTATAGTATTCTATCATTTCACAGTTTAGAAGTTCTATAGCTACCGAGGTGTTTGGTTGAATTATAACATTAATTTTCAGCAATTAAGTAAAGCAAACATCAGAAATTTGGCACATTACATAAAGGCCTTATTGGAACACTGGAGAAAACCAGTGAAGCCAAAAGTTATTTCTTTGAAAAGATCAACAAAATTGACAAAACTTTTGCTAAACTGGCCAAGAAAAAAAAGAGAGAAGACTGAAATTACTAAAACAGAAATGAAAGAAGTAATATTGCTACTCACCTTACAGAAATAAATAAGGCAATAAGGGAATACTATAAACAATTATATGGCAACAAATCAGATAACCTAAATGAAATGGATGAATTCCTAGAGAGACAACTTATGAAGACGGACATAAGAAAAAAATAGAAAATTAGAATAGACCTATAACAAGTAAAGAGACTGAGTTAGTAATCAAAAAACTTTGCCCTACAAAGAAAAGTCCAAGAACAGACAAGTTTACTAGTGAATTCTAAAACTGTTTAAATAATTAATGCTAATTCTTCATTAACTCTTCAAAAAAAATAAGAGTAAATAATTCTTAACTTATTCTGTGAAGCCAGTATTACTTTGATACCCAAACCAAAGATATTTCAAAAAAAGCAATCCATAGATGAATATCCTGTATGAATATATATGGAAAAAATCTTCAATAAAATACTATCAGTCCAAAGCCAGCAGCATAAAAAATGGATTATACATCATAACCAACTGGGATTTATCCTAGGAATATGAGATTGGTTCAACATATGAAAGCCAATCAATGTCATATACCATATTAGTAGGATAAAGGAAAAATAACCACAATGATCATCTAAATAGATGAAGAAAAACCATTTGACAAAATCCAACATCCTTCATAATAATTAAAAAAAAAAACTCAACAAACTAAAAATAGAAAGGATATTCCTTAGCCTGATAAAGGGAATTTTTGAAAAATTCATAGGTAACATCATATTTAATAGGAAAAGATAGGAAGCTTTCCCCTGAAGATTAGGAACAAGCCAAAGATGCCCTCTCTTGCCACTTCTATTCAATATTGTATTGGAGGTCCTAGCCAGGGTAATTAGGCAAGAAAATGAAATAAAAGGCATCTAGACTGGAAAGGAAGAAGTAAAACTCTCTCTGCCAATGACATGATCTTATATATAGAAAACCCTAAAGAATCCACAAAAGAAACTATTAGAGCTAAGAAATGAATTCTGCAAAATTTCAGGATATACGATCAATATAAAAATATCAGTTGTATTTTTCTGCACTAGCAATGAAGACTCCGAAAATGAAATTGAGTAAACAATACCACTTACAATAGTATCAAAAAGAATAAAATAGGAATATGTTTAACCAAAGAGGCACAAGACTTTTGTTTTTTTTATTTTTTATTTTTTTTATTTTGGCATATTTTGGGGGTACAGATTTTAAGGTTTCAATAAATGCCCTTTTCTCCCCTCCCCCCACAAGTCTGAGTTTCCAGCATGACCATCCCCCAGATGGTGCACATCTCGCTCATTATGTATGTATATACCCGCCCCTCTCCCACCTGCCCAATACCCTATTACTGTAGTACCTATGTGTCCACTTAGGTGCTGCTCAGTTAATACCGGTTTGCTAGTGAGTATATGTGGTGCTTGTTTTTCCATTCTTGGGATACTTCACTTAGTAGTATGGGTTCCAGCTCTAACCAGGAAAATATAAGATGTGCTATATCACTGTTATTTCTTAGAGCTGAATAGTACTCCATGGTATACATATACCTCATTTTATTAATCCATTCTTGGATTGATGGGCACTTGGGCTGTTTCCACAGCCTTGCAATTATGAATTGTGCTGCTGTAAACATTTGAGGAGGCACAAGACTTTTTAACACTGAAAACTATGAAACATTGTTGAAGGGAATTTAAAAATGGAAAGTCATTTTGTGTTCATGGATTGGAAGACTTAAAGATAGCAGTACTCCCCAAATTGATCTACAGATTTAATGTAATTATATCAAAATTCTTACTGCCTTCTTTTGTAGAAATGGGCAAGCTGATTCTAAAATTCATATGGAAATACAAGACACTCAGAATAGTCAAAGTAATCTTGGAAAGGGAGAATAAAGTTGGAGAATTTATACTTCCAATTTCAAAACTTACTACAAAGCTATAGTAATGAAGACAGTGTGGTCATGACAAAGGCCAGACATATAGATTGATTCATTAGAATTGAGAGTCTAGAAATAAACACATACATCTATGATCAATTGCTTTTCTTTTTAAACAAATTTTAAGTATTTATTTTCTTTTTATTGACAAATGAAAATGGTATATTTATGATTACAATGTGATATTTTGACATGTATACATTGTGGAATGCCTAAATCAAACCATTTAATACATGCATTACCTCACATACTTTGTTTATTTTTTTATTTTTTTGTGGTGAACAGTTAAAATCTACTCTTAGCAAATTTCAAGTATACAATACACTGTTTTAATTATAGTCACCATTTTGTATAACAGATATCTTGTTTCTCCTGTCTAACTGAAATTTTGTATCTTTTCACCAGTATCTTTCCAATTCTCCCTGCCCCGAGCCACCCCAGCCCCTGGTAACCACTATTCTACTCTTTGCTTCTATGAGTTTGACTTTTGTAGATTCTATATATAAGTGAGATCTTGTAGTATTTTCCTTTCTGTGCCTGGCTTCTTTCACTTAACATAATGTCCTCCAGGTTCAGTCATGCTGTTGCAAGTGACAGGATTTCCTTCAGTTTTAAGGCTGAATAGTATTCCATTGTGTATATGTACCACATTTTCTTTATCTATGCATCTGTATTAATGGACACTTAGGTTGATTCCACATCTTGGCAATTGTGAATAATGTCACAATGTACATGGGAGTGCAGATATCTCTTCAACATACTGATTTCATTTCCTTTGGATACACACCCAGTACTGGGATTGCTGGACCATATAGTAGTACTACTTTTAATTTTTTGAGGAGCCTCCATACTATTTTCCATAATGGCTGAACTAATTTACCTTTCCAGTAGTTAAGACAATAAAATGGGGGGAAATAATAGTGTTTTTAACAAATGATGCTGGAATAAGTGGATATACATGCAAAAGAATAAACTGGGACCACTACCTCATACCAGAGACAAAAGTTAACTCAAAATGGATCAAAGATCTAAATGTAAGAGCTAAAACTATACAACTCTTAGATATAAAACATAGGTGTAAATCTTACAACTTTTGATTGGGCAACGGTTTCTTAAATTTGACACCTAAAGAACAAGTAACCAAAGAAAAATAGATAAATTGTACTTCATCAAATAAAAACTTTGTATGGCAAAGGATACTATCAGGAAAGCAAAAAGATAATCCACAGAATAGGAGAGAAAAATTTACAAATCATGTATCTGATAGGAATCTAGTACCCAAAATATATAAAGAGCTGTTTGAACTCAATAATGAAAAAGACAAACAACTCAAACAATTGGTAAAGACTTTAAATAGACATTTCTTTAAAGAAAATGGCCAGTAAACACATTAAAATATGTTCAGTATCATTAGTCATTAAGGAAATGCAAATCAAAACCGTAGTGAGATATCACCACTAGGATATCTACAAATTTTTTTTAAAGAAAAATAACAAGTATTGGCAAGAATGAGGAGAAATTTGAACCCTGACATGTTGCTTATGAGAATACAAAATGGTTCAGCAGCTGTGGAAAACAGTTTGTCATTTCC